GCATTGGGCTCCACACTGGGCATGGAGCCTGCTTCAATAGATGTATAATGTCAAAAAAGGAAGATGGCCACCAATTCCACAGAGAGGTTAGAAAGGGTAAGAACGGAGAAAACTCTTCTGGATTTAGCAATTAATTGATCATTGGTGACCATAAAGAGATATTTCAGCGGAGTGTTAGAAAGGGAAGGGAAGCCACTGAAAAGGAATAAAGACTGGGGGCGGGTATGGAAACTGGGAATAAGAGAGCAGACCACTCTGAGACGTTCTGGAATTAAGAGATTGAAAAATCCCTCGGAAGAGAGAACCGGATTGAAAGAAGATGTTTTGGGACGGGGAAATCACGAACATGTTGGCAAGCAGGGGGGCAGGGTCCCAAGGGCAGTGGGGGCACCAGTGTGAGTGCAGGCTTACAGAGCATGGACAGCATGGGATGGTGAGCACTGTCTGAAGTCAGAAATGGGTTCCTTGGAAAGAAGAGAAGAAAGAGAAATCTGAGGTGAAGAAAGAGTGAGCTGATGGTGGATAATCTAAATTTCCTTGGCATCGCAGAAGCCAGGATGGATTGGGGTAGGAAAGGAGCCAGGGAAAGTAGCCTGGATGTGATCCCCAGGAACCACGGTACGGTGACAAGTGTCTGAATGAGAATCATTGGCATGGACATGGAGAGATAGAAGACATTGATATACTTGCCCAAGGCAGAACTCAGAGAACCTGGGGGCTCATTAGCTATAGGAGAGGACAAATAAAAAATGAATAAATGAATCAAGTTTCAAGTAGGAATGAACAGAAGAATTAAGGTATTTTGGAAAGTACTAAGAAATGGAGCTGATTATCAAGAAGAAAAAGTAGGTGTTTGATTTTGTCACCTTAAGTTTGAAGTAATGGTGAGACATCAATGTGAAAATGCTGGCGTTTTACTCTTTATTCATTGAGTATAAATATTTACTGAAGGCCTACTATGTGCCAGACGCTGACCCAGGGACTGGGAAGATTAAGCTGGTTAAGATACACATGGTCCCTGTCCTCACAGAGCTTAAAATTTACACGGAAAGACAAATGGATAACAAGGCAATGGGTTCAATCAAGTGAAAATGCAGACATCAAAAATATTCTCTTCTTAAAAACAAGGGGGGAACAAATAGAAAGGCAAGGGCCTGCTCTGGATCGGCCGAAAAGGCCTCGTTCTACATTAACTGTAAAGAAATACACATGAAAGTGTTAGAAAATGTGAAAATGATTTCTAAACAAATCATAACGCTTTAATAAGTTGGCAAAGGAGTGAGAACTAAAGCAATCTTGAACACTTTAACAAGCTGGAAACATGGGAAGGAAAAAGCTATTAATGAGGAAATAAATTTTGGTTAAAAACATGTTTTACTCTTCATTTGCACCAATTTGGAAAGCTTTCTTTGGTCCTTAGATATATTGAGCACAAATGTGTACATTCTTCCATTCAAAGCCTATTAAGAATAAACACTGTAAATTAAGCACATCTACTTTCCAATGTGAATTCAGAAAAGGATTTAAGAACATGGATACCCATATGGACCCTGTGCAAACAGGTATAGAGCCACGTGTCACGAAGGATAAAGTGATACTCCATTAATACTTCCAAACTTAAAAGCATAGCGGTTTTCTCCCTGGAAACTTACTACACAGGACTTGGATACAGAAAGTCCAAAATCAAAGTATAAAGAAAAAAAATTCCCAATAAATTATTTGCTTTTCATAGGATAATTGGGGCTGTATGAATCAATGAGAACTGATTTTTTTTTTTTTTTAAATCAGAGACTTTACACAGGGTGCCAATATAGAATCCAATGGACTACAATGACACCAGTAGATGTTCCTGTAGCAAGCCAAGGGCATTCAGATTCCGATGATTTTTTTAAAAAGGTACTCCTGAAGGAAAAATTCAGCATATTAATCTTCCAGTTTTCAAGAAGTGATCATTCCCTATAGCTACTACTCCTTATTCTAACCTACTGGCTTAGTTGAAATTCTAAAACAAAACAAAACAAACAAAAAACCCACCATCATGTAGGGGTAGATTTCTCCAAGTCTGCTTCTAATTACATTGGTTTAGAATCCTGGTGGATTTATTTGGGCGTTTATAACATGCACAGGAGTTCCAGAGCTTTTAAACAAGGACTACTATTTTTTCTCAGATTCCACCAAGACTTTAAATGTCAGCTCTTTATTAACAGTACTAACTAGGAAGAAAGGAGGCATGTGTAAATGAAATCCACAAGTACTCCAAGTGCTTTTATTCAGGCATCACCCCTGAATTCTTCCCTTTTACTTATGTCCTAAGAGCCCCCTATTTCTGTCAAGGGTACCTTGCTTGTCCCACTCATTCACATTTGAAAGTTTCCAAGCATCTCGATATGCTACTACTGAATCTTTGAAAAAATTTTATTCTAAGTAGAATTATTGATTTTGACTAGTGTGATTTGATGGGCATGACTCCAACTATTTGATGAGAAGAGCAAAGCCAAAGTGTGTGAGCAAGGGGGTGCGGGAGAGGTACATGCATGGTTTGAGTAGCTTGGGTCTTCTAATCAACTGCCTTGTTAATAGCCTAGGTTTACCAGATCATCTGCTCCTCTCCTTATGCTATAAAACTATGGCAACATCCATCAATTAAAATCGGCATCAGATAAATGCTTTCAAGAAGGGGTAGGACCAAGTGAAATTGAAGGAAAAGTTTGAGGACAGGAGAAGAAATCATATCCAAAGCTTTTTCTGTGAATTTGCACGTCACCAAACTTCATGAATTTATCAAGCAAGGTAAATAACTATTAAAATCAGCTGCATTTTGCTGCAAGAGCACCAAATTTCCTTTCTTCTTTCCCACCCCACTTTGGTCTTTTTTAATTAGAGACTAAAGAAAATGAAAAGGAATAAGAAAGCAATCCATAAATGTTAATTTTCTCAGGCCTGACATCCTGGACCAATCCTGTAAAGCTGGAATTATCACAAGAAAGCATGTTCTTTTAAGAGTCCATTTTCCAAACAAAATAAGTTACAGACTTAGTGGTGGGTGATAAAGGAACATTTCAGATTCTTTGAAACATCTCAAGCTTATTTTTTTTAAAAAAAATTGGTTTTGGCAATATCTTCTACATGGCTTTTTCCAATAATTTCTTCCTTCAGAACTATGAACATGTGAAGGAAAATCTATTATTGTTCTTAGTCTAGATTTCCTAATCAAAGTCATATGAAAGGTACTCTTGAGAACTTACAAACATTTTTAAAGGTCCTTCTTTCGAATTCAATTTAGACAAATAAAAATAAAACACCACACAAGAGAGAACAAGCCAAAAAAATGTATGAAAAAGTGCTCAGTATTGTTAGTACAAGAGAAGTGCGTATTAAAACTCTAACAAGATGTTGCTATGCTAGAACAGAGAAAATGCAAAATGTTCACAGCATGAAATGCTGGTGAGGATGTGGAACAATCTGAACTCTCATATTGCCTATAGGAGTGTAAATGGAGTGTAAATGGAAAAGTCAGGCAGAAAAAAAAATTAAATATACATTTTCCCTATGACCCAGCAATTCCACTCCTAGGTATTTATCTAAGAAAAATTAAAAGATATGTCTACCGAAGTCTTATACAAAAATGTTTATAATGGAGTAATAAAGTCTAAATTCATAATAATCCAAAACAAAACATAATTATGTGTCCACCGACAAGAGAGTAGATAATAAATGCTGGAATATTCACATAACGGAATACTCCTCAAGAATAAAAAAAAGGAATGAACTATTAATACCTGCAATGTTGTCAATGAAACCCAAAAACATGCTGAATGCAAACAAATGGACAAAAAAACCAACATAGTATATGATTCCATTTATGTGTAATTATAGATTAGGCAACCTAATCTATAGGGAAAGAAATCACATCAGTGGTTGCTTCTTGAGGAAAGTTCTGTCTGGAGGGATGACAGTGTTCTATTTCCTGATGGAGCATAGGATACTGATCAAGCTGTGCATTGTACTGGATTTAAATTATACCTCAACAACATATTTTTTATTTAGAAAGGAAATCAAACTTTTACAATTTAAAAATCACTTTGAGTCTTTTTAAAATTAAAAAAAAATAATGAAATGCCTTGGTTGAGGCTTGAAAGTTTGGAATGCTTGTCAGATGCAAAGTTCTGAATTTTAAAGATAATGTAGTAAATATTTATGATAAACAACCATTTTATTTCCCAGCTTCGGCATGTTGTACACTGCCCAGCACATAGACCATGCCGAATATATGTGGTGGGTGGATGAATGGCCTTCATTTAAAAATATACTTAGATTTTTTTATTTTGTCCTGCTAAGGAATAGGACCTCCACCTCTAAACCTGTGCTTTTCCTCTGTCTACATCTCGCCCTGTGTGTTACTCTCCAGTTCTCTAAACCAGTGATTCTCAAATGTAAGAGGGCATCAGAATCTTCCAGAGGGCTTGTTAAGCCACAGATTACTGGGCCCCACCTTCAGAGCTTCTCACTCAGTAGATCTGGAGTGGGCCTTGAGAAATGAACCCAACAGATTTTGATGCTGCTTGGTTTGGGCCCACCCTTTGAGAACTACTGCTTCTAACACTTCTTCAACTGTCAAACCAAAGGTCAGCATTTCCAACTTTTAACCATGTTTCCTAACTGCCTTGTGCCTCATCCTCTGAACTTTATTATTACTCTTCTCACTGATATTCCCCACTTGCTATTTGGCTCATTCTCCCTCGTACTTTATTCTTTGGGAAGAAAAAATGCTTGCATGTGTTTTCTATTCAGGTAGATGATAACTCTCTCAAGGGTAGGGACCCTCACTTTGTATCTTCCTTCCTCTCACACCCAGAACAAGCTGTATAGCTAATGGGTGATCCATACGTGCTGATGCCCCTAATATTTATACATTCTTCCAAAGCATGTACAGATACTACTAAAAGAAAGAGCGAATTTTCAGGTAAAAAAAAAAATAATCCTTTGTTAGGATGAATTACCTGTCATTGGGACAGTGACTTGGTAATGTCCAGTCATGGTGTGGGTTAATGAGGAAACCCCAGGATAGGAATACGGAGCTTGGTGTCAGAGTGCCAACCACCAGCTGGAGAGGTTTGCGAGAGCGTGCTTTACCTATGGAGGTAATGTGCAGGTTAATTCTGGTAACACAGTATATTTTTATGATTGGGGTAGAATGCATAAAAATGACTTAGGATGATGATAAAGAGCATGAAAGCATCAAGTTCCTTTTCTTCTCATGGAGTGCACAAATATTACCAATTTTTTGCCCATGAATTTAAGCATTAAACCAAATAAAATATCATTTTGAGATTTATGTGTGTATGTATATGCATATGTATATGAAAGCATATATGGGTAATGTATGCATATAAACTATATGTAATCATACTTAAGTATTATTTTCTTATGGGTTAGGGATGAATATGAGAGTCGTGGCTATTACCAGTGAAATAAATAATGCAAATGCTTTGCTCACTTCACTTCTTTTACACATACAATAAAAGCGTGTTGGTTTTCCCCCTTCTCTCAAGACTATGAATTAGTGTGAAAGAACATCAAAGATGAGACAACAAAGCTTAATGTCTGGTTTATAAGTTATATTCCTTTTTAAAACCAGTTTAGAAGTGTAAAATCCCTGTCATACTACTACAATAAGGCTTTTTTTTACAGTGTCTAAATGGAAGATGTATACACATTTACTCATTCTTAATACTGCTGGAAGAGTAGGGATGACGTAGGACGCGCGGTTGTTCGGATGGGCCGAACTGGATTTGGGCAGTGCCAAGTGATGGCGATAAACCGCTTTAGATTCTTTTCTCGTATAATGGAAGAAAGGTATTTGCATTTTCAAAAATATTTGGAACTTCAGGAATAGGGTCAGTGAAAAAGAGCAATGAAGATCCTTTGCCATGGAACCCAACACTGGCTCATTAAAAAATCTGTAAAACACATAAAAATGCAATAAGATATCTAATAAAACTATGCAGAACATAAAGCATTCCTTTTATTTCCATTGTATTTCCTCTTTCATTTCATGAGACCACGCCTGTTGTATTTGCTATGGGAAGAACTTGTGTTATTTTGATCTAATGCAGTAGGAACTAATAGGGTAGGAAGGTACCTCTTGTGCGAGCTTAGTGAAAGTTATCTGAACCACATGCCCTTTAAAATTGTGCCATCCTTGCTGCCTCTGATAGATTTAAGTTCTGTGAGTTGTTATTCTGGTGAAAAACCTTCTCAGCCCAGAATATATGTAAGCCTAGTGGTGGCCAACTGTTTCATGGTAACACAGCTGAATTTTGAAAAAGTTATACGCAAACAATGAATCATGGCACACTACATCAAAAACTAATGATGTAATGTATGGTGATTAACATAACATAATAAAAAAAAGACATTTGAAATAATTGTCAAGGATAGCTGTTTATTTGTTTGCAAACATGCTTTTATCCTTCTCCATAAAATTTTCCACCTCTTGTGATTCCAAGAACCCAAGTCTGACTCCCAAAGGGGGTAGATTAGAACCTGGCGAGGGGAAGGGGTTTATGTAGTTTGAAAAAGGCCTGAAGGGATTCTGGTATCCCTTTTTCCACCCCCGAGTTGGTTTTCACTAATGTAATACAACTATCTCATTCTACAAATGAAAAATAAGGCCCAGAGAAGTTTCAAGGGTATCCAAGGTCACACCAAGAGCAAGGTCAAGACTCAAATTTCCATCTTCTGAATTGTTATCTAGGTTTCTTTTCTTTTTTCTTTACTACATCATTGGCATAGCTCACACTGTATGAAGATTATGCCCTTTAGAGACAAAAAGATACATTTTCCTTTCTCCAAGGGAACCTAAGACCGACATGACCATAAAACAATTATTTCACTAAGTTTGGATCTTAGTATAAAAATGATTAAAATTTATGTGGCAGATGCAAATATAAAATGAATCAAAGTTAATGCCTCAGTCATTGTATCATTCTCAAATGCAGATTACAAAAACATTACATTTGTTGCCTGAGAGGAAAGGTGGGGTATTATATCCTGAGCAAGATGAAACAATTTCCTGAGCTGGTCATCACAAACGGAAAAATAATTTCAAGACCAGTGTCATAGAAGTTCCCAAATGAAGTTATAAAGTGTAACTAAGGTGTGAGCACTCTTTTGACGTCCCTTGCACATTTTTGTGTTTGTACTGAGAAACAGTTTGATGAACATGAAGCCAGAATCCTATGGATCCATACTAATACTTCTTGACTTTATTAAATATTTTGAAATAGAGCCTTGAAATGTTGACTATCATTATAAATTATAAGGAATCACTGGAATTTCCCTCATGCTTTGGGAGAATGTAGGAGGCCAAGAAAAGGAATTTGTATTTTTCAAAATGCTTGACTGTTTACTGCTGTTCTAAAAAGAAGTGAAAACCAACAAAAGGAGGGGAGGGCACTGTGGCAACAAATTTCTGGTAGCGGGCTTGGCTGATGCATCCAGAAGATACAAAATACACAACTGCAAAGGGCCTGTTTGCTCAGGGTATTTGAAGATCTGTATGCTCCCCCAACCCATTTCATGCCGCTAGAAACATAGAACAAACAAAAGACATCCTTTTTGCTTGACAGCTAGTGTACTATAAAAGATAAACATGATTGGGAAATATTAAGAACAGTTTGCATTAGTAAATGAAAAGGAAAAACAAAACATTTTTATCAGTAATCTACAGTCAGGGAGATGTGATATCAGACGGTAAAGGCATATTCCCAGCTTTTTTAAGTTCTGACAGCAAAGTCCTGCCTATTTGATCTGAGAAGGATAGTAGTGAAACTGGGACAGTGTAAGATTTTAAGCTTTCTTTAATCACATAGAACATGTTTCTACTCATTTATTCATAGGTTATTTACTTTCCTGTTTCCAGTCTCCCTCACCCTGGGAGTCTTGGCGTTGTGCTGCTGTTCTAGGAAGGCAGTCCTTGCTCTCATGTTTGACTAAATAGAAGAGGGTCTGAAGAGAGAGAGAGGAGTAAAGTAGAACCCCACGTTCCAACCCATTGACCGTACATATAAAGGAGTGATGCTTTTGAACGTGAACAGTCTCCCTCAACAAAGGTTAGACATTAGATTTTGCCCTTAGAATCTGGAAAGCACCAGAGCGGGCCTGAGTTGACACAATGCAAAGTAGATTCAGGCTAACAGGAGCTAAGTCTAAGCAAGCACGTGATATGGGCCAGGCCCTGGGCTACAAGGCCACACATGCATGAACTCATTTAACCTTCACGATGACCCTGGTATGCAGGAGAAAGGAGGCACCGAGAAGTTCAGTAATTTGCCTAAATTCCTCAGGTTTGTAGGTAGTGGTGCTGGGATAAGATCCCAAGCAGTCTCTACAACCAGAATGTAATACTTGCAAGCAGAGTTATCTGCTGACATGGGGCCTGCTGTGTTACGTATTCTTATCCACATTCCTAAGGCATCCCCAAGGCACTTGATCTCCACGGGTAGAAGTGAAGAGGCATGGTTTAAAGTTAATAAAATCTGAAAAATGAACAAAATATACCTGAGCATGACTTCTTTCGACTTGGAGGAGGAGCAGGCCGCACAACAATCAGATATTTAGGCTCTGCATCTGGAAACGATAACATTATTTATCAGTAAAATTCTCTAAGAGGGAGCAACATTCACGACAGCAAACCCATGTCCTGACTCAATATTCCCCGGGCCTTAGTCACTGTAACCACAGCACCACTGGATGAGAGGACCCAGGAATGTGGAAAGCTAATACTTCCTGAAACGGTTCAGTCCATTAAGTTTTTAAAATGAAAATTAAATCCAGATTTTCAAAACAAAATGGACAGGAGGCAGGGAGAGAAGTCTTGAATCTTGCTAGACACAGATTTTGTGCCACATTTTCATCAATCCTTCCCTCTGCAAAGAGATTTTTTAAAAATCCAATCATATCCATTTTGTTATCCTACTCTTCACAGGAGTCAGCCTGATGCTTCAGAATCAGAGAAGGAAAATCATACTTGCATAAGACACCTGAGACACAACAGGATCTCACTTGCTGTAGGATCTGAAACTGCTCACTTCCACAGTAATATGAATATTCATAATGTTCTCTTTATTTTTATCCTATTTGCATAATTTCTCAGCCTGTTATCATATTCAACCAATCATTTTTGTGAGCAATGTTTAAACAAAGTCACAGTTTCAGGTTGGTATACCTTTCATCTAATATGCCAATGGAAAATAAATTAAAAGAGAATCTCTTAAAAATATTTAGGCTTTGGGGCACCTGGGTGGCTCAGTCGGTTAAGCATCTGCCTTCGGTTCAGGTCATGATCTCAGGGTCCTGGAATCGAGCCCCACGTCAGGCTCCCTGCTCAGCAGGGAGTCTGCTTCTCTCTCCCTCTGCCTCTCCAGCCCTCTTGTGTTCACTCTTCTGCCCACTTTCTCTCAAATAAATAAATAAAATCTTAAAAAGAATATTTAGGCTTTAGAGGAGGCTCAGTGGTGCCATTGGTTAAGCATCCAACTCCTGGTTTTGGCTCAGGTTGTGATCTCAGGGTCGTGAGATCGAGCCCTGTAGCTCTGTGCTCAGGGTGGAGTCGGCGTGAGATTCTCTCTCCCTCTCCCTGCCCCTCCTGCTTGTGTGCTCTGTCTCTGTAAAAATAAATAAGTAAAATCTTTCAAAAGAAATTTAGGTTTTAAATAAAATGATGTTTAAACAATCAGTATGCACTAAATCAGGAGGTAATAATTTATCAAATCCTCTTTTTTTGAACTGATGTTTCCAAGATGGTTCATGCCCTTAAAATCTGGAAAGCACCAGAGCAGGCTTGAGTTGTGTATATCAATTTAAATATACATAAATAAGCCAAATATACATTGGGCATACTAAATAGCATTTCATAAGCACTTCTACTGAACTGATTGATGACTATTATCTACAATAGTTCTTCAGTAACTTTGGATCATGAAATTCATTCTACACCTAATTTCATTTGGATGCTGCAGTCAACAAGAGTTCACCCCTGCTCACTCAGACAGAGCTCACATCTTTGTTTTGTTTTCATTCTGGGTTTAAATGTCTCCCCTCTATGAGTTTGGAACAGAGGCCTTCTCTACCCAAGGCTTTACAGAACTGACCTCATTCTCAGCTAGAGACAACCTGGCAATTCAGCCACTTTTAATGACTTGAGCGTTTGTTTTTTTCTGGACACCCCACGCAGCCTTATTTGCTATAACCTGCTACAGTAATTACACTACACAAAGGAAACCAGGTAACCTCTCAAACCGACCTTAGAGCTTTGCCTGCTTACTGATAATTGCCTCATGACCATAACACAGATAAGGGAACATTCATTATGTTTCAGAGTCTTGTGTTTGAAGGCATATCTTGCTTAGTGGAGCTTATACAAGGAATGCTTAACCTAAATCTAAGGTCCCTAGTAGGAATATAATACATTTCCTGATTTTATTTGGGATATAAATCAATGTAAGTATTAAGAAAGTATCACATATTCAGTAGTTTCTATGTGTAGGGTACTTATTAAGCACTTTACATTTGTGACTTCATTACTGCTCATGGCACTCCTACTTGATACATACTATTATCACCACAATTTGTAGAGGAGGTCACCAAGGTAGGGTCAGCTTCAATGCGCAGGCAACATGCCCCGTCACACAGGGCCCCATGCTCAGAAGGGTCTCATGCTTGGTTTAATGCCCTGCTGTCACCATCTTGAAATTCTTAATAGTTTCCTCTTTGCATCTGGGTTTCGTAAGGGCAGTATGAAGGGCTGATAAAGCCTGTGTGTGAGCAGAGGAAACAGGAACAATAGGCAGGCCTACAGTTTCTTCCACTCCCATACAGTGGTTGAGATGCCCTCTCAGCATAGCATTCGGAGGGACCCAGGACACAAGGGGGTTTAGCAAGACTCTAAGGTCAAACAAGGCAAGCAGACTGCATCTCTGGCTGAGGAAGAGGGCATGGTGAGGATCTGTGAGGACACACTGTTCAAGCAAACCCAAACTCGCTTCCATGCAGATTGCAACACAAACGACCAAGCAATCCTATAGTATCCTCTCTTACTCATGTTAGTTCTCCGTATTTGCCAACCACTTATGCTGAAAAGGGGCACCTAGAAGGAAAGGGGAAGCTTGGAGCAACCCCCAGTTCCCATGCTTCTCCCTTCTTCCTCACTCGTACGGAAGCCTGAGGCAGAGTTATAGAATGTCCATGTGTCAAGAAGTGAAGGAAAAAGAGGAGTTAGTTTTGTGCATTTCCACTCTTCTATCAAGAATGAAATACACGTGCATGTCTCACCGACAAAGTACGAATTGTGTGATTTGTGATTCTGCTTAGGAGTTGAAGGCCTGTATTTGCATTTAAAACTAGCATTGCACAATGTAAAGATAAATGACAAAATTCATGTTAATAATTTAAAATTTTAATTTACTTCATCACATTAAATAACAAATAACACCATCACAAGTTGAGAATCTGTGGAAGAAAGGAAATATTTTAGTATCTTTAATAGACAATCTTCTCCTGCTTTTTGAAACAAGGTCCCTGCATTTAACTTGGCCGTGCAATTACATGCTATCTTGAATTTACTTCTAGAAAACAAAGCTAAATCTCTATTTTTCTTAAGTTACTCTCACTGTGGCAAAGTCTCTTAGACCCAGTTTTTTATTCCCTTCCTTGATGCACATTAATTCAATTCTGCCTCAGTGGTTTAAAAAAAACCCCTGAAATACTAGAAAAATAACATATGCAGAAGCCAAAGATAGTGCATGATCCAAGACATATGGTTACATGAGCAATTTAAAAGTAATTTTTGTTATGAGCATTTTGCGTAAAGCCTCGGCTGTGACAGCCAATTACAAATTGGAACAGATGTCAGGAACTGGGGGCAGATAGGCGGCCTCTCACTACTGATTAGACACTTCCAACATTCATGTATTTCAGCAGTGCTTGCGCTCCATTTGGAATACAAACATGGGAAAATAAAACACCTAAAAAAACAAAATTTCTAATTCAGTTCTGTACTCTGAAATTGTTTGCGGATTTGTAGCAGCCTGGAAATATATACACTGTAGCTTGATCAGCAATTCTGATAACAACATGCCAAAACACGCTACTTCATTTAGAAAATGTATATGATTAAAACGTCATTTTAAGCAAATTTGTGGGGAATGCAGTTACTTTAACTAACTCTCCATTCCTAATCATTAAGCCTATACCGTGTTGTAGGCTAATTACATCTCATTTGCTTAATATTTCAAATGCCTTGAGGTGAAGGATCAGGACAGCTTATTGTTTAAGGAAATCTATTATCGAAATCCTTTATAAAGTACTAGATTTTTTGGTAGTGCAAATAATTCTTCCATAATCGCTCTGTTTGATAAACCCCCATTCTCACATTTTTATTAGAAGACCTCCACCTTGCAAGCCACACAGAGTCATAGGTTAATTTCTGCCGTGCAAGTTCCCACAAAATAAACATCTAATAAGCCAGGATGATCCTACAGGAAATCATATAAGGGGCTTGAACAAAAATAATAATTTACCCCTGCCATCTTTTTAACAATTTGGTTTCATATCAAACTAAGTTTCTAAACATAAGAGCATGTACTTTAGATCCTGGAATCAAATCCTGCTTGCTAGTTGCTCCTATAAGGTGAGTGCTTAATGTATGCACATCTGTTTTCTCACCTACAAAATGGGGGAAAAAAATCACAGTACCTAGCTGCACAGGGGTCTTAGTGATGATTAACCTGTCACAGTGCCTAACACACAGAAATGCTAATTTATGGTAGTTGTTAGGGTAACAACAATAACCCAATGAGGATTTCTTGAAAGCAGAAATTTGGGTCTTAAGAGGCCCTGAGGACTTATAAAAAGGAAGGAAAATGTTTAAAGCTTTTTTTTTTCTTAAAGCAATCACCGCAGGCTCCAAAATGCAAAAATTTCACAAAAATAAAATTATATACCATACAAAGATCCTCTGTCCTGACCAGACTCTAAGTAGGCTCTTATGAGCTCTTTTTCAACAAGGCCCTGACTTTGGTCTTCTTTTGTGTTCATCTCTCTGTGATCCAGTTTGATCAAGTGTTTTGCTAAAATGTTTTAACCAGAATCCCCTCTCCTCCGGGCCTGATCGCCTACCTGATCACAAGTGAGGATCCTCTACCTGATCACAAGTGAGGATCGTCATCTTCCACCATGCCCTGATCACCCCAGCCTGCCTTCAGCAAAAGTCCTGTCTGGTTAGTTTAGCCAGAGTCCCCCACCCCTTACCCTCATGTTTCTTAGTCATTTTCCATCCATGCACTCCCACCTCCTTGGCTATCAATTCCCACTTTTCCTGGTTGTATTCAGAATGAAGTTCAATCTCTCTCCCACACTGCAAGATCCCACTGCGGTGGTCCCTACACCTACTGCAATAGTCCCCACCCTTAAATAAAGTCTTCCCAACCATCTTTAACAAATGCCACTGAATAAATTTTCCTTCACAATTCTCACATCAGTGCAAAAAATCCTAGAAAATTTATTGGTATGCAGAATCTGGCAGCACATAATACAATAATATATTATGGCCAAATACAGTTTATTTCAGA